TGGCACCGATTTGCTGTCAGACGGCAGACTGCCTGATTTAGAGTATTCAAACGACATTATGCTATTAAGTGAAGATCCAAATAAGTTACAAGCTTTTCTCGAAAGTTTGATTGCTAGTTTAGCCATATTTGGTATGCGTTTAGCACCTTCAAAGTGTAAAATGTTACTACAAGACTGGGTTGGTCCAGCACCCAGCCTCATTTTCGCTGAGGAAGTAATCATCATCATCATTGTACAGCGTAATACAATGAAGCGAACTTCACTGATCGCTGCAAAACTCCTAATGCATACAAGATAAGTGGGAATGTGTAAGGAAGATAGGGATTGGGTATATTTTTAGGGACGGGAAAAGAAAGCGAACCTCTATGGTCAACACAGAGTAACAGACCAAGTGGAGAATTTTTACTGGGGCAGCTATGTCCCACCCGGTGGACGCATCACGGATGAAGTGTCAGCTCGCATTCAGAAGGCTCGATTGGCATTTGACAACTTGTGACACCTGTGGCGCTGCCGCGTTTTCTGACTGTCCGTGAAGGATCGAGTATGTGCTGGGTCATTTCGTCCAGTTCAACTGTACTTTACAGAAACATGGCCATTAAGAAAACAGGCTCAGGATAGACTGTCGGTGTTCAAACATCGCTGTCTTCGCAGCATTGTACGAATCTGGCGGGGCAACCAGACAAACTGTGTTTAGATTGAGCGCAGAGTTTGAGTTAACCCCGGTCGCCAGCTGCAACAGGTGGTCGACATCCATAGATTACGTTAGTTGAGGTATGTGTTACGCCTGTCACCAAATAGGTTGCCACGGCGAGCGATGTTTGCCGAGGCAGGTAGTGGGTGGAAGAAAGCCAAGGGTGGTCAAGGTAAGACCTGGCACGAGGGTATGAAAACCTTTACCAGGAGTCTAGGTCACACAGGTCCCGTTAGGTTCCCTGGCTGGGGACCTCGGGATGGTCGTACCCGATGGTTAGAGACACTGAGTGATATGGCTGGGTGTTTAAACAGTGGCGTTCGTGCATCTCAATTTCTCTGCATCATTAATCCACTGAAATTTTTAATCTTCTCTTCGATCCTACTTTAAACCTTTCCTGTCTTTCTCGGAATGTTCATCCAAACGGGCAGCCGAAAGAAAGCAATCGAAACCGGCGCACGATAGTGCATGGTTAATGGTTGTACAAACTGAACTGAACTGAATTGCCAGACGCGCTTGTTGACCTACCTGCATCAGAGTCCTCACATGGAAGGCCCCCACATTCAGTGATTAAGGAGGCTTCAGAATCTGTAGTCTATTTTGTGGAAAACTACTTACCGTACTACTTGGCAACGAACTTTGGCGAGTGACGAACACGTTATCTGAGGGTTGTTAAGGGTCGGAAGATGGAGAAAATTGAAAGTGTTAGGTACGGAAGACAAAGGTTGGGATGTTTGAGTAGTAGTCCACTTATCACCGCCCACCCCGCTGGATGCAATGGGCAACGCGGTCCGGATTGTCCTGCGCGACGACCGATGCAATATAGAATTATTTTTTGCTTGTGTATGCATTAGAGTTTGATGGAAGGTACTTCCAGGGTGTCCAATCACTAAGTAGGAGAACGATTAGAGTTCTCATCCAAAGTCTTTAGTTCTAACAAGAACCTGACCGCAAGGCAGCGGGTAAAGCGAAGTAGAGGCTCATTTACTTGGATCGATTACTCCTCTACCATTTTACAGACTGAGAATCTTACTCGAGTCGAACCACCAACCCGGAGGACTAGGAGACTGGTCTTTGTCTGATCTCTATCCTCTGACATTTCAGATGATGTAATCTTTTGGCTTGATAAAACCATCCTGTTTAGCTCGTTTGGTAAAAGGGTACACAAGCCAACACCATATCAAGGTGTTATCTCGCCTTTAATTTGTCCAGTTATGAATCAATACCTTGATTTGATGTTTCGTTGGTAGGTTATTTGCTGCTGACCGCAGTAAACCACTTACTGTAAAGCGTACTGTAGACACTTCAGCGATTAGTAGCATCTGACCTACGTAAAAAACATCGATTCATGGTAATGATTCATAAATGTATTGGTTCTGAAGTGACTGTCAAAATAAATGTAGTCGATGTTGCAAATGAGGAATTTGTGACGAATATATACGTATGTGTATGTGTTCAGAGTACCACAAAATAATAGTTTTTATGAAAAGATTTGCGTGATTTACTTGAGAGGGCAGCACTTCTAGGTTGCCCAGTCAAAAGAAGGTGAATTTTCTTGGGAAATGGACTACCGGAGTTCTCGGCTAACCGAGGCCCGACCCACAAGACAACACCATGTGAAAACTGTAATCAACTGGCGGCCGATGTCCGGTTCATTTAATCACTCACTTTTTGACGGGTTCAAACGTTTAAGGTACCCAATACACCTCAATGCCCAACCATTCCAGTTACCACTGCCGTAACCAGGGAGCTATGGCTGTGTTTGATTGTATTTGGTTGGTTTGAAATCAGAGCTTTTAGCCCACTTCCCTAGGTGAATTTCCAATAGTTCACCGAATCGGTTATAGCATTGGATGGTGGCTTTTCGTCCTCTGACTTTGGTGGGAAACACCCCCGCCACAAGAAGGCAGTGAGTGGTGCTTTCTCGGCAGAGTTTATTTGATGCGCTTGGTTGTATAGAAGCATTTCTCGAGGAGAGAGGAGTGACCAGCCACAACCCGAGACACCCAGCCACGACCATCCAAGGCTTTCGAAACCGGTCATCTAATCATTGTTAGGTACTCACTCATTGGGGTTCCCATTAATATTTTGTTTTAGCA